CAAAGAAGACACCTTTCCCGCTTCTGTGACTCAGCTTCATCGTACAAGGGACTTTTAGCTCATCATTCCACTTCGACTGGTAGGGGTTTTCTATTAGTGCACTTCGGTGGGAATAAGTCTTCCTCTTTTCTTTCGGAAGGAGAAAAAGATGCTTCATTTGCTTCCCTCGGATCGGTAAATCCGAATTCGTGACCCAAACTCTATCTAGTTTAGTTACATCAAAGGTGGCTGCCGAATAAAAGGGCAAACTTTGCCTGCCAGATTGCCTTCGGTAACCCTAACCCAGTTATCAAAAGAAGGCGCCAGTTCGGCTTTCAAGAGAGGGGAGCGAGCTACACATAGTGAAGCGAGTATTCGATGAACACGAAGGCTTTGATGAAAGGAAGATTTACATTTAAAGTAGGTAAAGTAGGGCGCTTAGGCTGGCTGAAAACAGATAAAGGAGACATGTGCTTGGACGAGTTCCTCCGAGGAACGCCTTAGACGGATGAATCCCGCTGGTAAATACGGGATAGGATCCACTCTGGCAGCTGAACTTCTTTGTCTATTTCTCTATAACCTCGTATATCTTTTGACTGCGCCCGAGAAAGAAAAGAGCAAGGGTAGGGCCCCGGGAGAAGCCACTGACTGCTACTTCCTCCGCTACAACTGGTGGTTATGGATGGAGAAAAAGAGGGGAGCTTTCGATTTTTAGGGTCGGTCCCTCAGTGGGAGCCATACCCTATGGAGAGTCTTTTTTTGTTTGCTACGGACTACTGTATCGAACTTCTATGAGTTAATACCCCGGCTCCATTAAGACTGATGCTTATCCGCCTGGTGGTAACGGGACTACCCCGAGGAACGCCTTAGCGGGGTCTACTTTCTTTTGTTGACGCAGATTGGGCAGGTTGTCCTGACACTCGGCGCTCTACCTCTGGCTATGCTATTTTTCTTGGTCCCAATCTTATTTCATGGCGCGCCAAGAAAGAACCTACAGTCTCTCGTTCTAGTGCTGAGTCTGAATACCGCTCGCTTGCCTTTGCTGTTGCTGAGTCTCACTGGATTACTCAGCTACTTCGCGAGCTTTGTCTCTTTCTTCCTCACCCTGTTCAGATCTATTGTGATAACATCAGAAAACTTATATGACTGCCAATCCTGTTCATCATGCTCGCTCGAAACATATTGAAATTGACTACCATTTTGTACGGGAAAAGGTTGTCAAAGGTGACATTATTGTGCAATATATTCCCACATCCGAGCAACTTGCTGATATCTTCACGAAGGGCCTCCCCTCTGCCCAATTTCACTACCTTCGCTCCAATCTTCGCATCCTTCCACCTTGCTCCGATTGAGGGGGAGTCTTAGTGTATCTAGGTTATACTGTTAATTGTGTCGTATGTATTAGCCCAAGGGCTTAATTGTAATTTTACTTGAAGAGATCATCTATATAAATAGACATCTGATGCCCTAATTAGGGCTAAGCACTGAAATTTGTCCTAAACCAATTTCAGAAACATTTTGTTATGGTGGGGAGTGAAAACACCAATGCAGCAGAGAACGACCGTATGAATCGGAATCCACTTATATTAAGACAGACGACCGAGAAAGAAAAGAAAGGCTCCACGTTCTCCAAGTGCTTAATCTTAGCGTGCTAGCCGCTGCTTCATTTCGTTTTCGTATAGTGAGAACGCTTTCTCTTTCTTAGCGCTCCGCCCCCCTTGTATAGTAAGGGGAACTCTGGTTGCGCGGCTTTCTCTTATAGGGGTCTATTTTCTCTGACTTGACTCAGCTTGACCTACTTGACTCAGCGGTTAGAGTATCGCTTTCATACGGCGAGAGTCATTGGTTCAAATCCAATAGTAGGTAAAACCGGCACGAATAGTCGCTACTTTGCCCAAGCTCAGGAGTGAGTGCTTTCGTTCAGTTCATAAGGTTGACTTTTTTTTTTTTCTAAAGCGGTATTCCTCCTTGCCTCTTAATTCAAAAATGGAAATAACCTTATGCGAAGAAAGATAAATCTCCTTTTTTGCAGTTCCACTAATTCTGAAACTCCGGAAATTCTTCCAGGAGTCCCACTTCGGGATATATTACCGAATAAATCTGAAGGAGACGTAATATCGGATCCTTTATATTGCTCAGGGACAGTGAGTCTACCGGGAGACATCGTAGATCCACTCATCATTTCCAATATTACACGCTTGAATCACTTCTTAGTGAATCAGCGGTATGACTTTTATGGTGGGATCATACAGTCCCCGTATATTCGAGACCTGCAGCGAGAATTGGACCAGACTCCTGCAGAACTCCTCAGCGAGAAGCTCGACTTTCTTTATTTTCGGGAATCCCTCAATTTATATACTCGAGTTAATGAGTGGTATATGCAGAATTTTGGGGTTCCTGGCCCTGTCAATTTTATTTCAGAATAATATAATCAAATAAGGCTTTCGCGTTGTAACAAGCCTTCTGAGCCAGAATCAAACTCCTCCTTTTGAAAGAGTTCTACCGTTCACCTACAACCCAACCTAATCTTATTGAAACTCTTGCTTTTCCTTGTTATCTTTCTTTCGCCTATTGAAGCTTTCTGTTGTAGCTGTTCTAACTGCTGTTGTGAAGCGAAGCGGTCTTTCCCAGGTGTTGCTAGCTGAGTGCTATCTCTTGTTATCCCTCTCTATATCTCCTTCTGAGTTGGGTTCCCTGATGGAATGTGCTACGGTACGTCGCTGTTGTTATGATCTTGTGCTCTATCCCTCGAGTTCTTATCCGCCCCGGTATATGATGCCATTGGGTCGGGCTATCTTCTTCTTATATCAATCGGTAAGTAGTCTTCACTCACTAGCGGGATACAATCTTGAACCGGATACCTACTATTTATTTTATTGAACTAGACGATCAGCGGACTTTTATATCATATCAACAACAACGGGTTTCGCCCACAGTACAGAGATGATCTCAATCGCATCGGCATAAAGGTCCGGATTCCACTTCAAAAGGATTTACGCGCGAATTCAACTATAGACATATCTCTTTGGCGACCCAGGGACGGGGATTCATCAATCCCGGGGTTCGAGGGAGACTTTAGAACCCCTATATATGAGTCTCGAAACCATTATTTATACATTTCTCGATGACAGAGATCATCTTTAAGGAGAATAAACATTGGTCCTTTATTTAATAACCCCGATATTATCAAAACCATGATTTCCTTATTTCTCGATGGCATAGGTTCCAGGGAAGGAAAACAGTCCGGTCCTTTTTCACCCCGAAATTCGAGAGTAGCCGTATAAACCAATACCGGCAGAACCAACCAAACTCGGCTCAAAGCAGGAACAAAGACATCTAGAAAGCCCACATCACGTGGGGACTTGGCCTTGGTGGGACATTCAACCGACATACACAACCAAATAATAATAGGTTTTAGCCATGTATTCCGCTACACCGCCCTATTGATCTACGCTTTCTAAGCAACCACCGGTACCATTTTCACACAACAGAGCCGACTTACTTATTACATTTATAGGACAGGGAACCGGTCTCGGTAGGACTTAAAAATCCTACCTCAAGCAACCGACATCTCTTTACTTACTTGACCGCTAGCCAGGGGCTTGAAACCCCTTACAACCTTCCTTGCTTGCCGGGCTTACATCGCTA